GAGATGTAAGTAAACTGGAAGTTCTCCTCTGAGTCTGAATTCATTTGATCATATTATGAATGTGATATTTAATCATATATCCTAGCAGGGATTTGTGGGAGGAAGCTAATTAATGCTTATTAGAGAGAACTCCTCCAAGTGTTTTTGTCGTTCTTCAGATATTTATCACCACTGCGATGGGCTCTTTGCTTTGTTCTGCACAGCAAATGTAGTTACACAGTCAACAATTTCGATTTAAAAAATACAGGTTGTTCCTCTAAACTAACAGTGTCAAAACTGAGGAAGGGAATCTGAGAGCTGGTATCAGGAGGTAAGACCTCTCCTACCTTCTTCAGCACAGATCTCTTGAACTACTTGGTTTCTTATGTCTTTCAGGGCGTCAAAGTCATGCATGTAGTATACCCTCTTTTCCTCTCCGGCCATCTGCCGCAGCTGTGTTTGGTTGGCCTCCTTGACTCCAATCGCATACACATGGACGTTCTCTTCTCTGAGACTCTGTGCGGGCTCCAGGATGCTATCCTGGGATCTGCCATTCATCAGGACAATGAGGTGACAAGGCACTTTGTCTCTTCATTTCTCCTTTGCTTTCTGCAACAGCTTCAGTGTGAAGTTCAGGGCTGTACCTGCGTTGGTATTCCCACCCATCTGCCTGATGTTCTCAATGGCCTTTCCCAAGTCGGGCTTGTTGGTGTATTTATCAATCTCAAATTCCAAGTCCCAGCTGTCTGCATACTGTACAGCCCCAATCTGTACCTTGTTGGGAGTGATGTTGAACATCCCCACGATGTCTGACAGAAAGGTCTTCATTTCGTGGAAGTCTGTGGGCTGGGTGCTCTCTGAACCATCAATGAGCAGATAGATGTCGGCTTCCTCAGTGTCCACACAGGCTAAAATGAAGCCAAAAAAATTGAATGTGGCATTTGGGGGCAAATATAAAAGAGAAATGGCTACAGACCCCTTCCTCCCAGGACTCAGGGATCATCCCAGACAAGGGGGCAGAAAGACTGTAAGAGCCAGAAACAGTGGGTGACTTCAGCAAAACAGTGTTTTCTAGGCAAGCTGGAGCCATTTGAGACATGAACTCAGCCACTGTGACTGCACCAGATCATGTTAAGACAAACTCCCAGCATGAATTGGGGATGGTGTCACCAAGTCCTACTCTGGCTGGGGAGCTATGGCAATTGATGGCTGCTAGGAATGGGAGACTGAGTTTTCTTCAGGGATGCTGGCCCTGAGAGACTGTCCATGCTCTGGTAGATGGACTACACCTGTGGATATACAGGCAGCGCTAAGTGGTGGGTTTTTTTTTTTTTTTTAAAGGGGGCACATGAAAAGGGAGGGAAAAGTAGTGGAGGGCTAGGAGAGGAATCTGAGGAGAATGAATGGGTGTGGGTGTGATAATTTACCTTTAAAATATTTAAATTAAATTAAAATTAAATCCCTCCCAAAAGAAATGGGAAGAAAAAAACTAGAAGCTTCTGTCAAAGAAGGATAGGGAGGGACTCGCAGGCATGGAAGATTTGCTTTCACAGCTTGGGGTGGGACTCAGCATGAGCTGGATGAGATAACTTGCTCCTGACAGTTTAAGACTATAACCCTAATTCTCTGCTGTGCGGAAGGATAAATATAAATACAGTAAAATATGCAGTTGCTCTTTGGGGGTTATTTTTTTCCATTAGTAAATAACTACTCAAGAGAAAGTTAAGTGACAAACTGGGAAACGTAAGGATAATAGGATATTGTGGACATGT